ACACCATTTTTTTAAACGGGAAAAAAAAAACGGGTTTTAAATGAAAAATTAGTTTTTTAAAACTTTGTAAAAAAAAAAAAAAAAAAAAAAAAAAAAAAAGATAAATTTTATACATGCTGATTAATTCACAGGATGCAGCTATTGGTCATGGCTTAAAAATATTTTGTTCGTCAAAGCTATGGAACACCAAGAGTGAGAAGCTTGGGAGAATTTACAGAGACGGATTACGACCGAGTGCGCGCACAAGGCAAAAACGTGCACACTCTTCGTGTGGGGTTTCACGCAGAGCCGCGGAGGTCTGTACAGTAGGATGTCATTTCATTGTGGAAAAATGAGCCTGGCATTAAAGAGGTGTTTTCAGAGGGATTTCTTTCTTATTTTCCTTTCATGATCTACTTAACAGGAGCCCTGTTAAATACGAGCCCTTTTTTTTGAAGGCTTTCCTAATGACGGGCAGGGGTTTTACACTCCCTTTGTATGCAGTTTGACAGTTACGCCAGTTGACACTTAGTGACATTATCCAAAACTTTATTCCAGGGTGCCCAGTCTGTTTTTATTGGGGCCACCTGTTCACGTGTAAGACTAAATCCTTTAAACGAAGGCCTGGTTAGAAACTGAGAAGCGACTGAAACCCTATACAGTAGGAATGAGAAACAGTCAGATTTTCTTCTTTAAGTTATTATTGGTTCAAAGCATTTTTGTTTTCATTTAATAAATGAATTTGACAATTTGTTTTTGAACAAATATCTGGAATAATTTCTTACTCTGGTTTCGTACAACTATCCAAAAACCTTACTTTTTAGATAATTGGCCTTTCTAAATTTCCCTTATTAGGTTTGCACGTGTGCGTGTGCACGTGTACGTGTGCGTGTGCACGTGTGCGTGTGCACGTGTATGTGTGTGTGTGTGTATGTGTGTGGTTGTTTGTCCTGTGTGTCTCTGTGTTGCCCTATGATGAAGTGGTGACCTGTGCTGCCACTCGCCTAATGATCGCTGGAGATAGACATTATCCCCCCAGAAAAAGTGGGTATAAATAATGGGTGGATATTTTAAAAAAGTATATTTTCATGTCAGTTTTAAAAAAAAATGCAATAAACAAATTTTTCATTCCACTTTTTTTTCGTTTCTGTTCAGAGATGTCCATGTCATTTACTATTTGAAGCAAAGCTTTTCGTTGCATGAAAGTTATTTTGAATCTGAACTGATGCTTTTAGGCTTAATTCCTCAAGAGCTGCACCTTTTCTCTCTTCTTCATAGCAAACCCATTCTACTGAGAGATGTGCAGCTTGAAGGGCTGCAAATCAATGTCATTGCAAATGGAGACAAATCTGGTCGGGGCTTACTGTGGCAGAACCGATTAAAGCAGAGAATGAGCTTAAAAGATTGTAAATACCCTGCTTGGTCCGATTGGTGTCGTTTTCAGCTGCAACATTCAAATACTGGGGTCAGAATTTGTCAGCAAAATCATGACCGCATTAATCCATCCTGCCGTCCACCACTGTTTTGGCTGCTTATGGTATAATTTTGTCCATTTACAGCCAAAACGCACCCATCTTCAGATGGTTATTTCCAGCAGGATGATGCTGGAAGATCCAGTTTCTATGCTACTGATACTGATATCTTGTTAGACTATACCACAGAGAATGACAACAATTCTGAACCAGAAAAGGGATTCAATCAAGTACCAGCAAGGCTTACCTGATGCAAACGTGCATGCTTGTACTGTACTGACTTACAAAAACATGAGAAAAGTGTACTGTGCCTTGAGGTGTCATAGAAACATTACGGTTCAGGTTTTGTGTTGGCAGCAGCACAGACAGAAGATTTTGTAGTTCCCTTAATTAAGTCCTTCAGATTCTGAATGCACAAAGCGGCTTCAGACCATCAGACCACCACCACCGTGCTTGGCTGTTTTTATTTTCCTAAACTGCTGTTGGTTTGAAAAACTGAATATTTGGGGGTTTTCTTATAGTTTTTAATGATCTGTAGACCAGCTTGTGTTTTTCACATTGTGGTTCCTCCTTGAATGAAATTTTTTTGCGCAGTTTGATTCTTATTGATTATTGATTAACACTTCCCTTTTGTATTCGCTCAGAAGAAAAGGGCATACATACTTTTTATTTTATTTTATTTTTTTTTTACATCCCTGTAGCACTGCGGCCTTCACATTAGCTTGTCTTTACATTTTGTACTTAACCTCAGCTGTTTCTGAAACTGCGTTTTAGGCCTTGCGTTTACGTTTTAATGAGTACTTAAGCCATAAATCTGTCTGACCTTAATTATGGCTTTTAACGTGTGGCCTGACAAACTGAGATACTTTGGCTAATAACAGTCTCTCTCCTAGCATCCATATTTCTGTCTCGCATCAATTCTCCAGCGTTATGTCCTTTTTTTTTCTATTTCAGGATGAGTTTTACCAGCAGCTTCAGGCCATCAGACAGCCCTGGCATATTCCCAGTGACACAGACAGTGACATCATGGAGCCTCCTGAACAGGATAAAAGTGAGTCACCTACCTTCTTTTTTTCTTTTTTCTTTTTTACTTCTCTCTGCATTCAGGTACTTGTATGATGATCAAGGTTTCTGTTCCAAAAGGAAGCAGTTATTCACAAGTTTGCTCAGTTTTTGTGTCTCCCTTATGAATCTGCATCTCATAAATCTGCTCCCATAATGATTTTACCTTCCTGCAGCTCTTTTATTTTTATCTCGAAATGGGAGGCTTATTTCACCGTGTCACTTTACCCCAATAAATTACCACTGCATTAAAGTAGCAAAACAAAATTACCCCATTGTAAAAAAAAAAAAAAAAAAAAAAAAAAAAACCCCTTTGGGGGTTTTCAAAAGGGGTGGGAAGGTTTTCATGGAAATTTTCCGTTTTTGGCCTCTTGGGG